TGGAGCCTGCACATTAATCGTCATAAGTTGCTAGGTTAAAAAAACAGATAAATCATATAACTTCTCACAAAAATGAGAAATTAGAAAGGTCTGGGCACCAATTTGGTAGATTATTATGTTCCGCAAAATAAAGGCTATTGTTGACAATCGTGTTTAAGTCCGCCTAATAGATTTCTATAGCATTTTTTTTTTGGAATGCATATTAACTGTAAGACGTAAAAACAAATAAGTCTCCATCATCAATACTATTATCATTGCGACAAGCATGGGTTCTGATACTGGAAAACAAGTATGTGGTGTAAATTTTGCGTTGGTGTACAGTGGTGCCTGCACACGACGCGTTTCGTTTTGACTAAGCGTGGAAACACCGTTTGGTGTACTTGGGTCATCCAGCCTGCGTTGGAATAGACTGAGGACTTGTTGAGTTCCTCCCTAAGTTTACTCTCTATCCTATTGAATATTTGGACACATGCATGGAGTATTAAATATAGCCTAAAAAATAACAAATTACACAGTTTGTAACTAATTTACGAGACGAATTTTTTAAACCTTATTAGTCCATGATTTGATAATGTTGTGCTACAGTACACATGTGCTAATGACGGATTAATTAGGTTTAATAAATTTGTCTCACGGATTACGGATGGATTCTGTAATTTATTTTTTTATTAGTATCTGAACACCCCATACGACACACCATATGACATCAGATGTGACAACCTAAAACTTTATACCTGAATTTAAACAAGGCCTGAGTACACCTTTGACCCGGTTGCAGCTTGCAGGTCTTCCCTACCTCCCTACTACTACTCCTAGCTAGTAAAGTATTGAACCGAGTTCACTGGATCGTTGGTAGAGCCAAACCGATTTCTGAGTCTCATTGTTCCCAAGTACGTGTGATTCGATAAATCCCCAATTCGACGGCCTCTTAAGCCTAACCAGCGGCCGGTTTCCCCGAGTTAAAGGTCACGGTTTCTACCCCCTACCCTCTCAATTTCACAGATGTTTCAAATGGCTCCTCACTGGCATCTTTCTCGACAACATTTATCTTCTCCATCATGGGGCACACTGACGGGCCCTACACTGACTTGAGTGGCCAGGGTCTTGCATTTGTGCTTCGTTCCGCCAAAGATTTCTCTGACGCCTTGCCTTCCCAGTATCTCGGCCTTGTCAATTCCACGAATGATGGCAACGCAACAAATCATCTCCTTGCTATCGAGCTTGATACCATAATGAACAATGAGTTCGATGACATTGACGACAACCACATAGGGATTGACATAAACAGCCTGCATTCCGTTGCCTCACATACTGCAGGTTTCTATCCCTCTACTGGTGGGTACCTTCCCTTGAGCCTCAACAATGGACAGCCGATGCAGGTGTGGGTGGACTACGACAGCAAGCAGACCATGCTGAATGTCACAATAGCGCCTTTCAAGCTGTCCAAACCCAGCAGGCCACTACTAACACAGGTATATGATTCATCAACAATTTTGCCAACCACACCAGTGTTTGCTGGATTTTCCTCGGCGACTGGCGCAATTCGTGGCAGGCATTACATTTTTGGTTGGAGCTTCAAGCTGAACGGAGAAGCTGCAGCGCTAAACTACTCAGCGCTATCTTTGAAGACTATCCAAGATCTTGCAGCACAAATTGGGGCTCGCTCAAGCACGCGCATCAACAGGGCAATACTATGTGCAGCCCTTGTATCAACTCTTGCAGTTGCCACAGTTTCTGCTACTCTTTTCAAGATCCATAGGAAGAGGCGGTTAGAAGCAAGAAGAAATGAAATAGAGTGGGAGAGGGAGTATGGGCCTTCATCCTTCACCTACAAAGATCTATGTGCTGCCACTGGTGGATTCAAGGACAAGATGCTTCTGGGTAAAGGGGGCTTTGGGAGTGTCTTCAAAGGACTGCTTCCCCATTCCAAGCAACCAGTTGCCATTAAGCGCATATCGCTAGAGTCCAAGCAAGGGATGAACGAGTTCATGGCCGAGATCATCATCCTTGGTCGTCTCCGTCACTGCAATCTTGTTCAGCTGCTTGGGTATTGGCCCTGTTCGCTTTGCTGAAAAGCCATGGCTGAAAGTATTGTTCGCTGATTTGTTGAGAGAGAAAAACATTGTTCGTTCACTAAAATAGTACGGCTCATAAGACAAGCGAACAGGGCCAAGCAACAGCTCCTTTTGGTGTAGACTATATGCTCCATGGAAGCCTTGACTTTCACTTGCACATTCAAGGTCATAGCAGCACCGGTCTGTGTTGGTTTCAAAGGTTCCACATCCTCAAATGCGTCGCATCTGGTATCTTCTACCTCCAGAGGAGTGTGAGCAGGTTGTCATCCACCGAGACATCAAAACAAGCAATGTCCTGCTTGATAGCGAGATGAATGCGAGGTTAGGTGATTTCGGCCTTGCAAGGTCCCATGATCATGGAGCTGATGCTCACACCACACATGTGGCAGGAACATGGGGCTACATTGCCCCTGAGCTGGCCAGGCTTGGCAAGGCAACCAAAGCAACTGATGTATTTGCCCTTGGCGTGCTGATGATGGAGGTTGCATGCGGGAAACGGCCAATATGGGTGAACAATCATGGAGAGCCTCTTGCACTGGGCGACTGGGTGCTTAAAGAATGGCAAGGTGGATCCATAACCAATGCTGTCGATCCAAGACGTACTGGATGATCATGTGGAGGAGGAGATAGAGCTGGTCCTCAAGCTTGGCTTGCTCTGTTCGCACCCCTTGCCTAATGCGAGGCCTTCCATGCGCCTCGTCATGCAGTACCTGCAAAGGGATGCACATCTTCCATCAGAATTGGAACCCAATAGTTTGCTGAACATTGGTTTCGTTCAAGATCCAATGCTCGATCAGCATGCCATGTCATGTCCAACGACTGTTATAACCGATCTTTCCAAAGGGAGGTGACATTGCTGTGCCACTTGGTGATAATCATCCACAATATGCCCTTGCTTACTGTTGGTACTGCACTACTGCTCACGTGTTGTGCTGTTCTATGGCAGAGTTTCTATTCATTTGGAGCATGTACCAGCTCCCATGATGTCGTTGATTACTATGAACATGTTTCATTTGATATTATTCAGAGCGTTCTGGACGTCAATACTCAATATAATATTAATGATACTATAAGCTAATCGCAGCACAAGAAGAAACAGATCGAATATTCTAAATGTGTGTGTTTGCTCTTTTCAGAATGCTGTAAAATTCTGGTTGAATTTCATGCTCTTATGATTACTCAGGACATCTACGACCTTCCATTTGTTAGCAGTCTAGTTGTCTATATTTGATTTAGCAAATTACTTTTGATGCTATTAAGATGTTATCATATTTGAAGCAATAAGGAGCAAAGCTCAAAAACAAATTTATAGTAGGAAAATTTTCAATACTATATTATTCAGATCATACCATGTGCTATTCATATCTGCCACTCTGCAAGATGGTCCAAGCATTAGCATAGCATTTGCAGTAATATGTCTTTGGCATTTGTTTACCTTACGCTAATTAATTGGGGTATATACATACCAACTCACATCTACTACCAGAGTATGCCCACATTTGCCAAGAAACAATTAAAAAAAATTCGAACACGCAGGAGAGCTACGTATCATTATATTAATAGTAGAAGAAAGAGTCATACATAGACTCACACACACACTAGATCCTCTGGAATCTAATCACCCTTTATAGATAGAAAGGCGACCATTATAGGAGTCCAAAAACTAAGCCTAACCCACCCCTCTGATATCTGGCGGGGGGAGACCCTTGGCTTGTGTCAAAACCAGGGTTGTACCCAACCTGGGTGAAGCTCCATTGAACACACAATCATTTCGGTGTCTCCAGATAGTCCAGGCTCCCAGGATGATAATCGAGTTCAGTCCTTTGCGCACCTCACTGTCCACACAATTCTCCACTTTCCTCCACTAGTCATTCAGGGCTGTATCAGATGGCTGTGGGGCGAGGACTGAGAGGCCTGCATAATGCAAGATGGAGTACCAGAACTGCCTAGCGAAGACACACCCAATGAGGAGGTGCTGAATGTTCTCTTCTTCTTGGTCGCAAAGCGGGCGGCAACTCGCGGACGTCATCACCAAGCCGCTCGAACATCTTCGACTCACGGAGCTAAAGGAGATGATCGGCATGGAGGGGGTACAAGGGTTAGTAGTAGGATTAGGGGAAGATTGTTAGATAATTTACTGCTACCTTGTGTGAACACAGCAAGGGAAGAGGCGCCGAAAGGCCCCCTGCTGTGATACTGTAGCCGTTGCAGGTGCAGGCGCCGCACGGCTCACCTGCAGCACTGTAGGCACATGCGGTGGCCGGCGCAGAGTCAGCCCTGTATGTTATTTAGTCACTGTTGTAGCAGAGCAGCTGTACTGGGACTAGATGGAAAGAGTTGTATAAATAGAGTATCACGGTAACTCAGTAAAGAGAGTTCAGATTTGCCATCTCCCACATAGGGCTTCGGCCAACGCTGTTGTCTTGTACTGTGTGTATATGCTATGTTCTTCCTTCTTCTTCAAGCTCTAGCCATAGTTTGTGGGGACGGACAACGCTTGTTGGTGGTCGGCATAGCTAGTGGGTGCTCGACAACACTAGCAGGTGCTTGGCAAGACTGGTGAGTGGTTCACTGACCTGAGCCGGTGATCCTGTGGGCCAACAGAACAATCATTAGGGAGTGGACATACATGAAGTCGAGCATGTATATCCAGTTGGTCAAGCCACAAATTTCAGGCAGCGCGTATACAGAACCGTGTTCCACACCTCATGCACGTGTAGTTTGCAGAACTACCACAGACTGAACAGTAGTGCCGTCGAGATGAAGTGCTCAGTGGACCCACAGCAGCCCTCAAATATGTCGGGATATGAGGAGGCAGGGATTCCATATTTGCCTGTCACAGTTCCAGAGTGAAAATCTTTCAAGTACGCTACATAGAAAACAAACATGACAAAAGAAAGAAACTTATAGCACAAGATTACTTACTTCTTGTAAGACATCCATGAATGATCCTGCCGCCCGATTCTCCAAAGCTTTCCCTTGCCTTGTCTTGCGTTTCATAATCTTGGACTGCTTCTTTTGCATAAGAACTGTAGAAAGGAAAGCAGAAAACAGAAGATGCCATCCATAATTGAACTTTAGTTATCAGTGGGTAAAGCATTTGACTTGAGTTTAATGGACATCCACAGATCCACAACCCAAAATGGCTATATAAGTATATAACACAAAAGCAACATTTACAGAAACTGTGAACCCAGGAACCTTTGCATTTTACAAGTTGTAGCAAGTGGAGTTCAAAGATACATAAATTACTGAATTTAGGGGCATTCCAGATGCTAAAAACACGGTTGACAAGCTGTAGCATGTGGACCTCAAAGATTCAAAGATATCTAAATGATTGACTTTAGGAGCAATCCAGATGGTAACAACACAATCACCTTATGAATAATTTGTGGTATTATTCATGCAAGAAACGAAAGTATCTTGCAACTATCGCCTTTCAAGGATAGTTGCACTCTTATTATTTATTGAATCCTTTGCAAAGACAAGAAATAGAAGTTTTTCTTTTCAAAATTGATACTACAAACAATGTCAAAATATACCGTACACAAGGTATCTGTGTTCAATACTTGTTTGCACAGAATAACATTTTGTCATTGAGTTTCTAATACTGTATCTACCTTATCCTTTCTCACATCATGGCATTACTAGTGTGAAGATAAATGAGAAAGAAACTGACCAGGATCTTCCTCGTCCGTGGATCCATACTCATCGTCATTAAGATCTACCACCTCAACACCGGCATTGTCACTCTCAAGAGCTTCAAGGCGAGCTAAGGCAGCCTGCATGGGGCAGCAGAACATAAAATAGAATAGTTTCAGACACAATGATTGATCATCAGCGACTATATAAGCACGAAATGGTCCAATATGAATGAAAGCTGAGTTAACAACTTAGTCAAATCCTTTGGTAAGGAGTCATGAGAAATGCTAAAGAGCATAATAAGCAGTGCAGACCCAGGATGGAAATATTTTCCTAAAATCCTTTGAAGGGCAGGCCTGTTGCAGCGGTGAGAGCTGTCTCACTAAGTCACCAAGTCACGGGTTCGAAGCAGCCTCTCCGCAGATTTTACGGGGGGAAGGCTTGCCTCGGTTTTTCCCTTCGCAGACCCCACTCATGTTGGAGCCTCCTGCGCTGGGTCTGACCCCTTTTACTTTCTAGAGCATATATACTTAGTATTAATTTTCCAAAACTACTCGTGGGCACGGTTGTCCGAGCAGGGTGGAACGCAGGAGCAGTCAGTCTAATCCCATCGTTACTTGGGCACGGTTGTCCGAGCTGGCGAGCGCGGACGCCATACGCGTGGCCATGCGGAGCGTGCGAGCGCTGGTCCGGCGGAACGGCCCCACATTCTCCTCCCCATCCATCTCCAGTCGCCAACAGCGGTAGGCAGCGGCGGGCGGCCCTTGCGCTGGATGAGGAGACAGGCAGGTGTGGAGAGTGGAGACGTAGAGGGCGCGTGGACTAAGCGGGCGGCGCGGGCGCCGGCGGTCGACCAAGTGCGGCGTCCGTTGGCCGGTGGGGAGGGACAGGGAGAAGTGGGGATGGCTACTGGGCTACTTCATGGGCTTTGCCATGTGTGTCTAACGGATTGTTGTATATTGGGCCAGGCCGTCTGGTTAGCAGGCAAGGCCTGGCCCAATATAAACACTATAATCCCAATTTCTGTATGTCTCAAAACAAATATATCGATAATGCTTACGAGTGGGTGTCCGTTCGTCCGGAGCTGCTTTTCATGCCTGCAGCTTTGCGTCTCCTTGTCTCTTTCTTAAAATATCTCTCACTCCCATGCTCGCCCATCACGTGCGGCTGCGCTGCGCTTGCTGCTCAGCTGCTGCTGTCTTCCCCGCTGCGCCCCCTCCGTCGCCGAGTCGTGCTTCATCCCCCGCCGCGCCCGCTCCAGCTCGTTGCGCCCTCGCTGGTACGCACTGTGTCCCGTCCCCCACGCGTGCTAGGGTGCTGCTGCCACCGCCGTTCCCCACCAGAAGATCGTGGCTGCTGTCGACGCCGTGGCCTCCGTGACGCACGACCTTAGCAAGGAGGTGTTGCGATGAAAGCGCATGTCGCAAGCGTATGTTACAATTATTTCATATGAATGCTGCAAAAGTAGATCGGGGATGTTGCAAGTGTTTTAGAGGTGTTGTTCAAAATGTTTTATCTGTTCCAAACGTAAGTTGCAAGGGATCCGATCTGGACGTTGCATATGTTTCACACATATGTTGCAACAATATGTTCAAAATGTTTCAGTTGTTTTAGTCTTATGTTGTAGTAAGTGTTTTCATGTTGCAAGTTGCAAGTGTTTTTATTTGATGTTGCATATGTTTCACATATGTTGCAACTTGCAAGTGTATGTCCTAGATGTTTCATCTGTTTTTCATACGGATGTTGCATTCAAGTGTTTCTTGTTGTTCGGAGAGTCAAGGGGTGCGGGAAGTGATGGTGGCACGGTATGGGCGCTGGGTAATGATGGGGCGCGGCGACCTGGGGACCGCTGGTCGGGACGCGACAGGGGATGGGGCGAACGGCCTCGAATCGAGGCGGACAAGACGGGCTGCGCGTGCGAGGCGAATCGCGTGGACGCATGGGCGCGGCGACAGGATGGTGCCGTGCGGGACGGGAATAAAATTAGCGCACGGGGGCAGGCTGCGCGGGTGTCCGGACGCGTCCTCGCGCCGGACATCCGAGCACTAATTGGTCCGAGTAAATATACATCTCGCTTTTCCGAGGAGTCAAACATCTTAGAATTTAACAAGATATATAACTAAAATTTAATTGACTACCAAGTAATCAAACCATAAATTTACAATGGCTTGCTTAATGGCAATACCTAGTTTCTTATAACCTTTCTTGCTCAGAGGAGCTGGAGTTGTGGTTACACTCGTGGTGCTACTACTTGACCCAGAGCCAGCTCTGGTTTCATCTCCACACCAACGAATTACGGAACCACCACAAGGACAGTCAGGACTTAAGGTGGAGGCTAGAGCAGACACCATTGCCCTCCTCCCTAGCCCTAGGCCCCTCTGCACTGCAGCACCATTGCCCTCCTCGAAATTCTGTGTGACACCGTCCGCTTGCTCGATGCGTGTGTACAGGGCCCACCAGGCAAGACGATCAGCCGTGTCAAGCCAACGAACCAGTCCGCATTTCAATTAGATTAGATTTTCTAGAGAAATAGGGACACATGCAGGCCACGTAGTCATGCAGTGTCGCACGTCGACGGTGTTGCCACTACGGGAGAATGCAGATTTGCCGAGTGCCGCCAGTTTTGCCGAGTGCCAAAAATCGGGCACTCGGCGAAGCCACTCTTTGCCAAGTGCCAGACTGGGTGGCACTCGGCAAAGCCTAGCACTCGGCAAAGAGTGGCTTTGCCGAGTGCCACAAAGTGCCCGGCACTTGGCAAAGGGTGGCACTCGGCAGAATCCCTCCTTGCCGAGTGCAACACTCGGTAAAGAGTGACACTCGGCAAAAAAATGGCACTTGACGGCCGAGCTCACCCACGCCGTCAAATTAAAAAAAAACCTTTGCCGAGTGCCAAGGCCCTGCACTCGGTAAAGATCCCTTCTTTGCTGAGTGCCACTTCCTGGCACTCGGCAAAGGACCTATTTGCCGAGTGCCAGGGCCGGCACTCGGCAAAATATATATTTTTTTGTTTCTTTTGACCCATTTTTTTTGTGAGGCCTTCCCACATTATTTAAAACTCCATGTTCAAATTTGGGACAATTTTAACTTTTTTTGCTGCCCGTTAGTTTTTAGGCATCCGACGAAACTTATGGAAACCTTTCAAATTTTTTACCATAGACTCTACATTTGATATAACACGATGATATTCATGATATTTGGTGTATTTTTGGTATTTGCTCGGATTTTATATAATTTAAATACATCTTTTCCACGTAACATGTCATGTTACGCCAACAAGATGCTCGAAATTTTATGTGAGTTCCTCGATACGGCCTCAACATACACCAAATATCATGAATATCATTTTTTGAACGACCAAATTCGATTATTCCATGCACCTGGCAGCTCAAATTTGAAATATTCCATAAAATTCAACGAAAAAAAACTAACGTAAATATAGAAAAAAGTCAAATTTGTCCCAAATTTGAACATGGAGTTTTAAATAATGTGGGAAGACCTCACAAAAAATGGGTCAAAAAAAAAAAATATATTTTGCCGAAAAGTCTGCGCCGCACTCGGCAAAGAAGAATTTTTTAAAAGCCTTTGCCGAGTGCCGGTCCTGCCCAAGACTCGGACAAAGGGGGAAACCTAACTAAATGTGTGGGCTGCCCACACACTCACTCGGCCCACCCCAGGCCGAGCTGTTCGCTGCTTCTTCTTTCGCCCGCCACGCCGCTGTCGCTGCTTTCGCCCACCTCCACCCGGCCCCAATCACTGGCCAGGCCTGGGCCCCCGACTGCCCGTGAACCCCTGCGCCAATGCGCTGCTGTCAGCTGGCCCGCGCCACCAAGGGCGCCGCCTCCCCCCCCTGGCCGGCCCGCCGGCCACCGGATCGGGGCGCCAGCCAAGGCCCGGGCGCCGAGCCTCCCCGTCCTCGCCCGCCCGGCCACGCCACACGGCTGCTGCTCGGCGCCCAGCAATGGGCGCGCTGGCCATGCCCCGCCTACCCGTCGTGGCCCTGGAGGAAGGAGGAAGAAGGTAGCAGGAAGAGGAAGGAGGAAGAAGGAGGAAGAAAAAGGAAGAAGAAGGAAGAAGGAAGAAAAAGGAGGAGGAAGAAGGAGAAGAAGAAGGAAGAAGGAGGAAGAAGGAGGAGAAGGGGAGAGGGGGAGGAAGCCGAGGTGGAGGGGACGAACGTTCGTCCACGTCGTCCACGCTGTTCGTCCACGCCGTCATCCCCGCCCTCGCCGGAGGAGAAGGTAAAGCCGTAGGGTTGTCGGCCATCGCGCCATTTATGTCATTGACGGCCTTCGTGCCGGGTTTGTGGTTGTGTTGGCCATCGTGCCCCAAATGTTGACGTCGGCCATCGTGCCGACGGTTTTTCTTGTAGGTTTTGGAAACCTCCCCGTGCAGGGGAGGTTCTGCCGAAATTTTCAACTTTTAGTGATGTTTTTCTTCTTTTGCAGAGCAGGACCTATCGGAGGGGACCCGGAGCCCCTCGGCGACCCTGATCATCTTCGTCGGCGTTGCAGTCCTGCCTGCACAGCGCCGACTCGCCACTGCACTGACTCGCCACTATGCCGCTAGCCTGTCTCCACCGCCACCCTAGGTATAATTGAGCTCTCTTCCTTACTGTTGTAGTACGTAGATCGGTGTAGCCCAGTTAGGCGTCTCCCGTCCAAAATAGATACGGTTGGAGGTATGCGGATCTCTGCATATCTATGATCGTATCTGTTTCGGATTGTCCACATTTTTTGGACAGCCCACGGATGCATAGATGGGTTAGTTTCCATGTTCTGCTCGGATCCGAGACGGAGTTTCGGCACCACCTCACTGTTGTTCTCCGGATACACACTCTCCCTTCCAGGACGTGTATCGGGAGAACAGTGGGGAGGTGCTATCGAAATTCTATCTTGGATCGGAGTAGAGCATGGAAACTAACCTCATCTACGCATCCACGGGTGGGATTAGGACCTATCCTCACCTATTAGACAGTAGGCACGCCGTGCAGATGCAACTGATGGTTATATTACTCCGTTATGTGTATATGCTAGAGGATGGATAACCATGAGTGGATGTACATGGGACGCCCAAGTCAGGCTCAAATCACCCGTGAATGGATGGATAAGACCGAGAAATTCTTGGACCATGCATTTAAGGTAGCTAAGGGAGCGAGAGACACGTTCTGTCCCTGCAGCCAATGTGAAAACAAGAAAAGAAAAATAAGGGAAGTCATGGTGCAGCATCTTTGCAAGTATGGATTTATGCCAAACTATACCCGGTGGGTGTCCCATGGTGAAGCCTATCGTCCTAGAGAGGAGGCCGTGAGACGACGCTTGGAGGCATTTGACGGTGATGGTGGGGTACCAGGATGGTTAGGTGACTATGAGGATGCGACGTTTGCTGAAAGGCCTACGGAGGACGAGCAGGAGGATGAGGAGGAGGAGCCAGAGCCAAGCGCTAAGGCGTTCTTGGTCATGTTGGATTCGGCACAGAAGGTCCTACATGAGAAGACAACGGTTTCTCAACTGGATGTCATTGGCCGCCTACTGGGGATGAAGTCCCAGCACAACATGACTCGAGCCTGCTTCGATGCTATGATGGCAATTATTGGGGGGCTGCTTCCGGAGGGTCATCATTTGTCGAGCAGCTTGTACGAGTCAACGAGACTCCTTCGGGCACTGAAGATGCCGTATGAGCAGATACATTGTTGTCCGAAGGGGTGCGTCCTATTTAGGGAAGAACACAA